GAAGTGGAAAATATTCGATTGGCGCGACTTTACACGGTGCACGGAAACTACAAGCAGGCTACAGATATATATTTTGGTATTCTAGAAGCATTGAGTACGGATCACGAGGTATATCCGTACGTGTTGGTTGAATATGCAATCTGTATGACTGAATCATTCTTCACTAAATGCGAGAAAGACTATTTGAAGTTGCTTAACGCAAAGAAGAGCAAAATGGAGATAAATGACGAGGATTTGGAGTGTGCTTGGGACTGTTTTGAGACTGCGCGACTCTACTTCGAGAAGTTGGGAAGAGCAGACTACCTTGCTAAGATACACAAATATTCTGCTGATATCCTTTCATTCAATAACGATTTTGCTACTGCTGTGATTGAGTATGAGAAGGCATTGGATTATTGTGGTTCTGATTTCGCAAAATGTGCGATACTTGAAGATATGGCTGATTGTTACGGGAATATGAAGAATAAGAAAAAAGTTCAGGAGATTGAGAAAACAATTGAAGATATTCAACTGATATAGTGGTGTGAATAATTGCGCCAATACTTTTTTTATGAATCAAGTGCCCTAAAAAATAGAAATTTTGAGGCTGTAAGTTACTACAGAGATCACCATACAATAAATTTTATTCTTAAGATGCATGTATTATTGAAAACTAAGATAGAATATGTTACTTTCAACCAATATTATGCATACTATATACTCGCTAAGGGGGGAAATTGAGAGGATCAATTGCGCCAAATTCTACATGCATTACAACGCTCTAAAATAGCTACATTATATGCATAATTATATCAATATACACTAGGAAGATCACAATAAAAGCATATTTAACCAATTATTTATTTCCTCATCAAATTATATCAAAATTAGCTTTTTCTAGACGCTTTAAGCGACCAGGCATTGAGATGAAATGGCGTCGAATTTCTGTAGGTTTCACTCTTGATACTTCATCAGACAACACTCTCCACAGATCAGCCTTGTTTTGTATTTCGTGTTGCCTCAGGTTAACTCTTCTTTTGAGTCATGCCCACACGTTTTCAATGGGGTTAAGATCAGGGGATTGT